TCATAGACAGAGTTATAAAAGAAGACATTACCAAGGTCCACTGTAAGAACATTGAAATGAGTTCACGCGGATAGTAATCAACGCAGAAAGGTGATACCTAAACAGAACAGGTAACTTGTGAGTTGTAAGTGAACTTGAAGGTAGATGAAGTGAAAGGGCGGAAAAGTTCAACACCTTACCCGCAAATAGCAGAAATTGACAGTGGTAGGATGATCTCAAGTTTCAGTTTCCACGGGGTGAGTTTTTATTTAAGCAGCACACTAATGTAAAGACTATGAGAGAAGAAAAAGAGTAATAACAAATATTCACCTGGACAGAACAGGTAACTTGTGAGTTCTAAGTGAACTTGAAGGTAGATGAAGTGGAAGGGCGGAAAAGTTCAACGCCTTACCTGCAAATAGCAGGAAGTGACAGTGGTAGGAAGACTGCCGTAACTCGTAAGTACTGCTTCAATAGGATGGTAGAGAAAAATTGATAAGAGAGAAAAGCACTCACTCTCAAGCTTCAGTTTCCACACGGTGAGGGAGGAAACCAGAGGTTGAGGAGAGGATGGGTATAAGAGAGCAAACCAGCACTGAGATTTTTAGATAGACTAAGCTAAAAAAAGAAAATGAAGACAGATGCAGACATGAGTAAAAGAAAAGGTAACAACCAGATACAAATCAGGAAATGTAATAGAGTGATTAACTAATATCAACTGAACTACCTGAAACATCTATGATTATCATCCATTGTGATGTACTTGACCACATTACTTCCTTATACCATAACATCCAATACCCTAACTTACACCTTTTACCACAACAAATGTTTCGCAAAATGAGGTGGTAAGAGACATGGATACTTCAAAGAGGTAATGTTTTTTGGTGGTGTATTGGAAAGCCTTATGGGACCTCTGGGACATTCTAACTGTGAGTGTTATTTTCATTCCACCTCAACTTTATTCTCATATTGTTTTGAATAAACTTCTCTTGTTTTTTTGTTTTAACTTTCATTTGATTCTTCTTGACCTTACTTTTAGCCATTCAAGATATTGACTCCTGAAAATTAAATGGAGGGTGATGAGTCAACTGGATGTATGGTTCTGGTCAAGTATGTTCAACTCAAGGAATTCTTGAAGAGAAATTTTGTATCCTATGGTGGATATCATGATCAACAAAATTATCTCATATAATGTATCCCTTGAGTGCAACACCCTAATCCATGCCACCATCTTTCACCCGGCCTCAGAGGCAGGGCGTTCATTCACTCATTGGAAAATCCACTCTCAAATGTATCTATTAAGGTGTCATGTTTTATCTTACATGATGAGTGATTTCCAATCATCATCCATGCTCTTACCTTGCCTTGTGGTGAGGTAAGTGCAGTATGGGAATGCACCCACAGGGTGCCCCAGAGTAGGTTCTCATGACCCAAACTGTTGGGTATTCAAAACCAACGCTTTATTTTCACTATCCAACATTGGTTTCAAGTGAACTTACTCAGGCCACAGGGTCCCCTCCATGCTCTGATTGGATGCATGACATGTTGCAGATTATATGTTAGATTTGCTAATAGCTTTGTTACATAATTCTTTGTAGGGCAGGTGGGATGGAATTTGAAAATGAAACTAGTTCTACCCAAATAGATCTGAAATCCAGTTAATTTGACTCATATCATTTTGAGAGGTGAGGATGATGTGCCAAGTTTCCATGAAGACTAGAAATTTCCTTTTAATTTCCTAGCTTCAACTTTGCACTATGCTTTGTGACATGTCTGCTACAGGTCACCTTGTGATACACAGCTAGTGGACACATTTACCAATACATGCCTTTCTCGGTCTTTTCCAGGGTCTGAAGGTAACAATTGGGCAGAAGAATTGTTAAAATTAGTTTTCACTCCACATGTGATCAAATGACATGGTGTCAAATGGAACTGATTAATCAAACAGTGTCCACTCCTCCCCAACCTAAATTGCTGAAGATGAAGGATTTGGATCACCATCACTCAATCTTAAAACTAAAAAGACACAATCCCAACTTGCCACAATTTGGTACTCCGGGGTTTGCTTCCATTTGCTTGGTCCTCAGAGTTGCCGTTTGGGTGCATACTCTTCATATAGTTCCAAATTTAAGAGCTTTTGAGCTTTTCACAACCTTTTCTCTTCACTTTGAAAACTTTGTGATTGGTCGATCTCCATATCAAGTCACTGCCAACATAGATGCCTCGGGTTGCGGAATCCGAGGCATCATTGGAGGTAAATCCTTGGACAGATCCTGTCCAAGGTTTTTGTCCAAGGTAATCTTCTGCGCTGAGAATTGCCTCGGATCAAAACCTCAGACAGAAGCTGTCCAAGGTTTGGAATCCGATGATACCTTGGATTGAAAAATCCAAGGTAAATATGTTGGCAGTGAGTCAATTGCCCAACTGACTTTTCACTTGCCATTGTTAAAAGCTCAATGACTTTGACAGATCCCCACTATGGAAGACTTGACAATTGATACAGATTTGGGTGTTTTACAAAGGATCCCACTATTTAGCCCCCCCCAGCAAATATCCGGAGCCCCCCTAATTTTTGGGTAATACTCAAGAACCCCCCACAACCCGACTGCTCTCTGCAAAGATTTTGCAGAGTTGGACCTTCCGGGCTGCTTGAGGGGGCGCTTTCCCACAACAAAAGCCCCTGATTCTCTTTTTAAAGCCCCATTCTTCCTCAACAGGGCTATAAACTCCCAAAACATCATGAAAGTTGAATAAAAGGGCTGCTATTTTATTCACAACCAGACTGGCCCTCAAATGCTCAGACTGAAATTCTTCAAATCCAATCAATAATAAACCAGGATCCTCAGGAAGCATTCAGTGTTACTTGATGAACCACGCTTCATGACACTTGTGTCAACCAAACACATAGTAAAAAACATCACCTTCCTATTTTACATCCACTTTCCTGTGTTCTTATTTGGTTGCCAATTTGTCTGCTGCTACTGCTTGGGGTTTTAAAGCAAGAAACATTTTGGCTTCCAAATGCAAATGTGTGTACATCAGATTACTTAGGGCGCGTTCACTTAAGGAACTTCTGACCAGAAATCACATTCTGTAATTTTTTTAATGCAAGAATGAAACATGCACCACCAAATAGACACTTTAGATTTTGCAGAATGTGATTTCTCACCAGAAACTGCTTAAGTGAACACACTCTTATTCTGGATTATTAATTCATTTTGTTCTGCTTAGACTTGTGCTTCTATTGGCATTACAATCCCAACTTCTGTGATCAGTCCTACTAATTCTTCTAACATTAACAATTCTACTTTGAAGAAACTGATTCACCTGGACCAATAGTATATAAATAATTTATACAACAAAACAAATTGGGAATGGAAATGGACAAATGATGTTTTTGAATGGAATCAGTTTAAAAGCTCCATTACATTTACCACCCTTAGATTTAAATTTTCCTTTGTTGATTTATTACATTTGATCCACACCATCATTGCTTGTGCTTTTTCAATCAGTATGCACCATGATTTTTGAGTTTATACATGACAAAGAGGTATGTAAATAGAAACACAAGGTGATCAAAATTGGCAAGAAACAATTCATTAGCACATTTTAGAAGCCCCCTAAAGGAGCCCTATTTTTTTCAAAATGGGGCTGTAATTATCTCATCGCCTGGTGTCTGGTCCAAGACAGGGGGCTGCATACTGCTCTGAGGGCGCTAAATAGTGGGATCCTTTACAAAGGGCAAGATTTTTGTTAATTGATGGATCTATTCCAACTTGATTGCACATTTGCAATGTGGAAAATTCAACAATTGTGGGATACAAAGTAGAATCTGGGCACGTGCCCGGCCTCGTGCCCAGAATTATTTTGGCAGTAAATTTTGTTTTTCTGGGCAAAAGTCCGGGCCCAGAATTCAAATTTACTGCCAAAAAAAATCTGGGCACAAAGCCGCGCACATGCCCGGATTCTACTTTGCAATGTGCGCACCAACCAAGGGACGACTTGGTGTATAAGTCCATGACTATGTAGTTGTGTAAAGATGGGAGTTTAAAGGTATGCTTATAAGGAGGTAACCAGGCGAGGGAATCCTTGACGGCAAGGAAAGAAATTCCAGTTACCTCGGATACACAAAATCGAGCATCCTGACTTCACATCGCTAAACACAACTCATCAATAGTTCATAACTCATTTGTTGATTACGTTAAGTTACAGTTTTTAAATTAAATCGACAAAGACAGAAGACGAGAAAAAAAAAGAAAAAGAAAAATGGCAACTTTCGATGAGGTTTTAGCAGAATCAAGACGCCTAGCAGAAGAGGCGCTGAAAGAAGGAGCAAAAGGATCAACAACGCGAAGCAGATCAAAGACTCGAGAAGAAGAACAAGGTGAAGGAAGAGACGGGGATGTTGACGAAGAAGAAGAACCACCGAGAAAACTAGACAAAGAGAAAGGAAAGGACGTAGTAGGACAAGGAGAAGGGGGATCAGGAGTACAGGCGGATGGGTCAGAAGACGAAGAAGAAGAGGTGGAGATCGAGAGTCAGCAAGAGCAGTGGTCCGGTACAAAGATAAGACTAAGGATAAATGGTAAGACTCACTTCACGCTACCCATTCAACTATCAACTTCATCTGCCCAAAAACCCCCTACACCACCTACCCCCACCCGTTTCTTCTATATTCTCCTAAAATAAATCACACCCGATAGGGTCCAGCAATATTGCTGAGGCAGCAGGAGCTACATCCTAGCATAAAGACGTTGTGTCGAAATCGTGAATCACCCCCCCAGTTCCAAGGCGAACGCCAGGGGCCAGCACAGCTGAGGCAGGAGGAGCTAAATCCTACCAAGAAGAAGACAATTAGTTTCAAAAAGATAAGTCATTAACGTCACAAATCCCGGAAATCACCGAGGCAGGCAGAGCTATATCTGACCAAGAAAGATCCACATACCAATTCCAATGAAAGATAAATTCCGATAAAAATAAAACAAGGCAGAGAATATCAGGAGATAAGAGACTGATGTATGTACTTGACGAAAATCGCAGATGCCAACCCACCAGAGCCAGCAACGCCAGGCGACAGGAGCAAAGACCTGTGGTGGAAGTCTATTGTAGAGGCCTACGGGAACAACGACCTAGAACTCGGTAGGGCGATGCTCCACGGGTTCACGATGATGTACGGCACACCCCCGTACGATCCAGAGGCACTGAGATCCAAAAGGCTGCAAACACGAGTCGAAACGCCTGACGAGAATCAGATCGACGCACGCCCGAAACGACTGAGATCAGCATCGCTGGTAGCAGGAGGCAGTGACACAGAGGAGGTCCAAGCAGACACTGCAAGGGACGAACTCACCTCAAGAGCGTCAAAGGCGAAGAGGAAAGACCGCGACATCAAAGACCTAGTAGACCCGGAGAGCGAAATTATATTTGTAGACAAACAATTCTCAAATAACAACCTGTTGCAACTGTCGGCGGGAATAAACCAACGCATGACAAAGCTAAGAGCCTACGTACCACTCACGGTGTTCAACCTAGAATGGATAGACAAGGATTTCGTGAAGGCCGGAATGAAGAAACCGAAATCAGTGAAGGAGTTGCAGGACGGAGACAAAGTCTTCACTTACACGGGTCTCACACCGAAGGACGAGCTCCTAATGACATATGGGGAGTGGATCGACGCCATAGATCTCTTCATAAGATACGTCGAGGAGAGATACCATATGGGTACAACAGCCAAGATGCTGAAGAAGCACAAAGAGAATGTGATCAAAATAAGGAGGTCCACTGCGTGCTGGATGGTAGCACTACGCTACTGCATGAAAGTGAGTAAAAGACCATGATGGCCGCTAGAGAGCAGAGGCTGACACCCATGCGCGGGGCAGGTGCGACGACTGGTCATGCAGATACAGCTCGGAGAATCCGGGAAGAGAGAGATGTGCAACGCCGGGGCGTTACAAGAGGACCTACTAAGAGCAGCAAAAGACAAGGCAGAGTCAGCCAGAGAGAGAAACTTCGCGGAAAATCCATACGCCTCTGGGCAGAAATCCTTGGAGCCCAACCTAGCCACGCCAGCAACCAGCACAACCACCAGCGCGGAGAAACGTCAGTTCGCCTCGAACAACCAGAACCAGAGAGGAGGAAGTGGCGGTAGGGAGAAGAACACCGGAAGCTGGAGAGGGCGAGGTAAAAGAGGAGGAAACGGCTGGCAAGGAAGAGGTGGCTATTACGCAAACCACGGTAATCAGGAGAACTTCCAGCAAGGGAGCTCGTACGGAAACTACGGAGCACCGAGCCAGGGCAATTTCTTTGCGCCGCACCAGTCGTACCATCAACAGCCATATCAACCATCGTATAGAGGTTACGGTTACCAACAACACGGCAACTACAGAAGCTGGACAGAACCAAGTCATCAGCAAAACAGCTCGTACACGCAGAACACGAACCTAGGAGAGGGAAGCAGCCACGGCAACACTGGAGCAAGGGCGGGAGCAAGCAGTGGAGGTGCGAAAGGAGGTGCAGGTGCAAAAACAGCCCAGTAAGTGGGGACACAGATTGTAACAGACCCACCTTTTATCTATCATCCTATCATCCTTGTTACCGCATCTGTTTCTCTATGTCAGAATTTCTTTTTCTCCCCCCCAGTTTGTTGGGAAAGCCTTTTTCATTCGGCTACGTCCACTCCTGTTTCTCTCGATCCGTTCTGCAATTATAATAAGCCAGAGGATAGCTCCACGCATGCCAAGTATCCTCAAGGAATCATGCCCATGATGAGAATGAGAGAACAGAGAGATAACTGAGGAAAAAGACCCAGAAGGACTGATGAAGAGTCAGCGTGAGCAAGGAACGTGAGAGAGAATATCAAACTTACCACGCCTGCGCTCTGACAACCCACTAAAAGCTTGATAGAGAAACAAGAGCCGAACGACAACGCGGCGAAAACCGAACAGGCAGAAGGTTCGAAGGACGAACAAAACAAAAGAGAAACAGAGACAGGCCCGATGGAGAACAAGACAAAGCAAGGACACCGGGTGGCAAGACCGAACAGGACCTGGCCGGAAGGAGTTACGTGCGAAATGAACCTGGATGTATGGAGAAGACTCACAACCGAGCTGAACCTGGAAAGGAAGCACATAGAGATAATAGAAGGCTTTGTAATCGGATTCGATCAGGGGATACCGGATCATCGGCTGAAAGGTAGAAGGTTTTACTCACCGGAGAACCACGTAAAGTCAGAGGAAGAAAAGATGTTGATAAGAGAGAAGATCCAAAAGGAACTGGATGCAGGGAGAATGAGAGGACCATACAGCGAAGAGGAGGTATTCAAACGTCTGGGGTTCTTCAGGACCAGCCCGATGGGAAGTGTGCTAAACGGGGATGGATCCTTTCGTATAATCAACGACTTGTCGTTCCCAAAGAACGACGCCGATCTACCGTCCGTGAATTTGTTTGTCGACAAGATGCGCTTCCAGACGACCTGGGACGATTTCGCGAGAGTCCTGAAGTTCATGATGGAGATAGAGGACGAGTTAGAATTTGGGATATTTGACTGGGAGAAGGCATATCGTCAGATACCCACTCACCCATCGCAATGGAGGTACCTGATGGTACGTGGACCGGACGGAGAAATTTACTATGACTTACGAGTATTGTTTGGAGGTGTTGCCGGATGCGGAAGCTTCGGCGGCCCGGCAGACGCATGGAAGGAGATCATGAAAAGGTACTTCGGTTTCATAGCGGTATTCCGCTGGGTGGACGACAACCTCTTCGTCCGACGGAAGAAAGACACGAAAAAGGTAACCATGAAGGAAGTCGTAGACCTAAGTGCGGAGCTGGGGGTAAAGACAAACAAAGGCAAATACGCGGAGTTCGCAGTAGAACAAAAATATATCGGATTCCTGTGGAACGGGAAAGACAAGACGGTCAGGTTACCGGAAGAGAAACTTCAGATGCGGAAAGACCAGGTGGATGAAGCGTTAAAGAGGGAAACACATACATTTAAAGAAATCAAGAAGCTGATAGGTAGACTGGTACACTTAGCCAACATTTTACCGCAGATGAGTTGTTTCTGCCCAAGCTTCTACGCATGGCTAGCAACCTGGAAGAACAAATTAGCCAAAAGGAAGATGCCACCAAACATGACAGAGGACCTTTGGGAATGGAAAAGAACCCTGAAGACTTTCAAAAACAGGAAGATTATACCACGGAGAGAGCCAACGGACATTGGCTGGGTAGGAGACGCGTCAACAGATTACGGGATAAGAGTAATGGTGAACGGACGCTGGAACCAATGGCGACTAAGGGACGGTTGGTCAGAGGTGGATGCGCTAGGAATCAAACGTGATATTGCATGGGCGGAAACTATTGCGATCCGTCTAGGCTTGGAAGTAGCAGCGCGAACAATGGACGTGAGAGGTCTGAGAATCTTGTTTCTAACGGACAACACAACAGCTGAAGCGGTGCCCAGCCACCTAAAGTCCAGACACGTTTCAGTCACAAGAATGGAGAAAAATACAATGCCGATTAGCGGAGTTAGACTGTGATTTAGAGGAAAAAAGAGTCACGTCAAAGAACAACAAGGCAGACGCACTTTCAAGAGGAACCGACATCACAAAGAGTGAAGACAACAGAGTACGCTTCGAGCTGCCACACGATCTAGAGGACTTCCTGGAGGAGAGCAACTAATCATGTCGGGGGAGAAAAAGAGGAAGGTTAACTTTGCGAACATCGAAAACGAGATCAGCAACAAAGAGACCTTACAAGTAGCTAGACACATGATCGGAGGCACGTGGGCCGAATCGACCCTGCAAGGATACAGCAGCGCAGTAACTAAGTTTAGAGAGTACATCGAGAGCCGAAACAGAGATTGGAAGACGGCGATCCCACTGGTGGCAGAAGACGTATATGGATTTCTAATCTGGGCGGGAGCGTCACAATCAAAGAAGGAAGATTCAGCAAAAAGGATAGTAAGAGCGAAGACGTTAGAGAAATACCTCGCAGGGTTACAGGCTTGGCAAATGGCGACGCACCTAAAACCACCAAACCTCTGCCAAAAGATGATCAAAGGGATATTACGCGCGACCGAGCGGGCGGAGGAGCAGAGAATGCTACAAGGAACCGAGGGAGAAAAGGCAGAAATGAAAAAGAAGCCGGTTATGATAAAGGAAATGTTACATCTGACTTTCAACTTCGCGGGGAAAGACGAGTTGAACGAATTGATATTGACAGCAGCACTAGTTGCGTTCTGGGGGATGATGAGGCTGGGAGAGTTAACTAGACAGAGCCAACAAGAAGGGATGATCCTGGTGAGCGACCTCCGTTTCGAAGGGCAAGGCGCCTCAAAGACGGCGATAATCAGCCTATGGAGGGGAAAGACAGCGAAACCAGGACAAAAACAAGAAATACGGTGAGAGTCAGAAAACCGACAAATACAATAGATAAGGGGGAGACTGACCAAGAGCAAATGTAGGATTGACGCACAGCGATTGGTACTGGATCCAGTCGCAGCCTCAGAACGCCTGCTAGAGAAGATACCAGGAAGGAAAGAAACAGACGCCCTGTTCGGGATAGGAGCAGGAGAAGACAGGCAGCCCCTATGGACAAGAGATCTTCGTGAAGAAAGTGGCACAAATATGGGGCGAAGACGGCTCAAGAGACGGGAAGTGGTCAGGCCATTCCTTTAGGGTAGGCGGCGCGTCATTAAGATGGAACCTAGGTTGGAGCAAGGAGTCGATAATGAAAAAAGGAAGGTGGGAATCGAAGGCAGTAGATCTATATCTCAGAGAGTACAAGACGGAAGAGCTAGAAGAGACGAAAAGTCTGCTGAAAGCAATCGACTTGAGAAACATGAATAAAGTTTAAGCCTACATACACATACAGATCTAGAATGACAGATGCAGAAATGAGATACACTTGAATACTCAGGTTTGAACTGAGCAAAGCATGTGAGTACCACAGCCGAGGCAAGCCAAGACAAACTTTGTTTGAAATAGCTGGGCAAGGCAGACGGTGGTCAAGGAATAGCCGAGACGGCCGAGACAAAGCAGCGACAAGCTTCTAAGTTTCTATGAGGACATCCACCGAGGTGTCCCTGAGAGGTTGGGAAACTCGGCAAGCCAAGACTCACAGGTTTGCATTGGCACACGGGTAGGCCGAGAGTCCCAAAAGAACCCTCAGGAACCCTCAGCGACTGATCAAACGTCAGACAAACCGTTGGGTTTCGCGAGACGGCAAGATTTTCTCGTCCACGCAAAACCAAGCGGACGCCGGCGGCGCCCCTCCCGTACACCTTAAAGAATGACAAACAACAATTGTCAAACTTTAAGTTTGGTTGGTAAATTAAAAGTGTGATAACATCAGGAACACAATCCCATACAAAATGGATTGTGCGCACCAACCAAGGGACGACTTGGTGTATAAGTCCATGACTATGTAGTTGTGTAAAGATGGGAGTTTAAAGGTATGCTTATAAGGAGGTAACCAGGCGAGGGAATCCTCGACGGCAAGGAAAGAAATTCCAGTTACCTCGGATACACAAAATCGAGCATCCTGACTTCACATCGCTAAACACAACTCATCGATAGTTCATAACTCATTTGTTGATTACGTTAAGTTACAGTTTTTAAATTACCACCCAACCCTCCCAGGCAAAGTCGGAACCGTTGGGTTTCGCGAGACGGCGAGATTTTCTCGTCCACGCAAAACCAAGCGGACGCCGGCGGCGCCCCTCCCGTACACCTTAAAGAATGACAAACAACAATTGTCAAACTTTAAGTTTGGTTGGTAAATTAAAAGTGTGATAACATCAGGAACACAAACCCATACAAAATGGATCCCATAAATCGTGGTCATTTTGTCTTCACTACAAAGGTATCACCTTCTGCCAGTCAACAAATGACAATAGCCTCATTTTGCCATTTGTTTTCCTGCAGTTGAGGTGTTGAAAATAGGCTGACACTACTTTCACTCCTTGCCTGATTTGCCTCTTGACAACCTACTCCATCTAGCCTATAAAATACTCAGTTGTCTCAGCTATCAAACCACACCTTTTTTCCCACACTGTGCTTCTAACCAAACTTCTGAATTACCCATTCAAATTTCATTTAATCAACATTCTATCCATTCCTTTGTGATAATTTCAAAATCAAAATAATTGAATTCAATACTTTTTTCCATCATCTATTGCCTTGTTGCATGTGAGATTGGCTACCCCCAGGTCCTCCAATACCAAAGTCAGGGCCAGAACTCTAAGAGTGTCTGGTACAATGGACATCTACAAAGTCATGTGTTCTCATCCTACTGCAGCTTTGATTTGATTCATCAACTTTAGTCATCTCCTTCCGGTCAGAGTTTGAGCAAGGTTGGTTTCCTGCTACCCAATCCTGTATTCCCACATGGACAACTATACATAGTACTGTTGCATTGTAAAGCATTAAAATGTGTTACAGTCTCTTTTTCATCAGCCTCAACCTACGCCAAAACCAAAAAAGTTGCATTGGAAGATGCTCTGGTGTCTCAATTGTGAGTAATTATCTTCCTTGATAATGTTTTGGACATGCCCCAAATTGCCACTGTCTCATACCTGATGCAAACTTATATCTAACAGACCATAAATCTGTACATAGGAACATAGGTACACAGCAAATACCAGTCAGTAATTGAGACTTGAACATTAATTTATTTTGGCTCAGCCTCCATGAATACTGTTGGTGAAGGTTTTTTGTGTTTTTGTCACAGTTATAGAGTGTATCTTACAATTATCTTCACTTCAAATCTCTGTAATTCAAAGTCATTTATCTTA